TCTCTTTTTTTTTAATAAATGTATATAATGAATATATATAATAAATAAATATAAATATATTTGAGCTTACCTTTTTTTTTTCTTGATCCAATGAATTAGACAGTGAAGAAAATTTTCTGTTATATGCGTCTTGAATTAATTTCAATCCTGTTTTCATCTAATAATCATTGATACAAAATTTAAATAACAAAATATATATATTTATTACTTCGTTTTCTAATTTTTTTTTTATTCAAAAAAAATTATATGTTAATTTACTTGTTCATCCAGTTCAATAAAATGATCAGTTAAAACTAGAGACTGGTCTCCACAATCAGCGGTCCCAATTACATCTTCTTCTTTCGATAATAATAATGGGTCTTGTTGCTTAATCGGAACACCGGGTTTCCATGGCACATATGAAGAATAATTTGATAATAAAGATGGGGAACGATTACCATCCAAAAATAGATGTTCTAATTGATCTAAATCCATTTCCTCCAAATTAGTTTCAGTATTAATTGTATAAGTAGATAATGTTGGGGAGATTCTATGATTAATGGTTGTAGTAGTTGTTGCATCACTGTCTTTTGAAGATTTCCTTGTCAAATTATTAGTAGTAGTTATTGCTGTTGGTTTTTTTGTCGTGTTATTTTTCCTTGCAGCAGGAGGCTTTGTAGTTGGCGAAGATGTTTTTACACCTGAATTTTGTGATTTTATAAACTCATTGGATGATTTTGATGTTGAATTTGATTGTGTAATCATTGAAAATTGTTTTTGTTTAGCAGAATAAATGATTTTTTCAATTTCTTTTTTATTGTTATTATTTTTACTATTGGGTAAAGGTAATGTACGAGATTTGACAGGAGTAGAAGGATTAAAAGCATTCGTATCTGATATTATCGACAATGCTTTTGATGCTCGTCTAGAAGATGAATTTTCATTTGTTGTGTTTATTGTATGCGATTTTATTGAAGAAAATGATGTTGCTCTAGACCTTGTTATAGTTGAGGAATTTTTAAAAATATTTTTATTATCTTTTTTATCCTTTTTAATGTCAATAAAAGACAAATTTTCTTCCGATACAGTTGTATTTATTTTACCATCATCATCATCACCATCGTCATCGTCGTCATCATCATCGTCATCATCATCAAAGTTCTCATAATCATCCGCAGAATTACCCTTTATGGACATTATTTTTCAGTTTTCTTTTTCATATGATATGAGAAAAACTTGTTCTATTATTTGTTTATGAATTTTCCTTTAAATCAAAAATCATACGTAGAGAATACACGGCATGAACATCATTACCAAAAAGGTGTTTAGAGGAAGTACCAGAAAACTCTATTGAATGCCACCGTCAATATTATGATTCGAAAAGTACAGTCGGAACTCGTTAAACCGGTGTGCTTGTTTTGGGCTCAAAACATCGGTTTATCAATATTCGTTCTATTGAATAATCTTCGATAAAACGAAATTAATATATTTTTAAAAAAAAATTCGGTTTAAAGCTATACATCAAAATTTACATATTCATTTATGTTACGTTGACGTGCTAGTGAACTTTTATAAAATAAAATGCTATTCCTAACAGAACGAATAGTAGAAATTTGTTTTATTGAAATATGGAAAGATATTTTTGATACAGACAATGATTTTTCTTTCAATTACCCAAATTTAACAATTATTATTAAAATAGCACTTCTTATACCTTTTTCTAATGCACATGTAGAAAGAATATTTTCAGAAATGAAGTTGATAAAAAACAAATTAAGAAACAAAATGGATATAAATACACTGAATAATCATTTAATGATTTTATTAAATGGACCAGATGTCTGGGATTTTGATTTTGAAAAAGCATATAAACATTGGGCAAACAAAAAAAGAAGAAATAGTTGTTATTAATTGATTTTTATTTTTATTAAAATATTATTTTATTTATTTATATACTGTAATTAAAAAATTTATTTTATTTATTTGTTTAATTAAAAAATTTTTTTGATCATAAAAATGTGCGCATTTATTATGTAACACAAACCCAGGCATAAAATTTCCAACACTGTCCACCGCCATCCTTAAAACACTTACCCAGCAACTCCAGAATGATTTTCTCTGGTATTTTGATTTTTCTTTCTTTTTTGAAGAGACATCTTTTAAAATTGAATAAAAAGAAATTTTGTTATTTGATCGACACATACATGCTAATTATTTATCCTATTGTTTTTTTTTTGGTAGGACAGACTCAAATTTTTTTTTTTTTTTTTTTTTTGGAAAAACAATTTATTTTTTGACAGAGTCCAAGGTGACAAAATGTGAGTGTTGTTGTTTGGTTTAGGTCTCCTAAAGAAAACATGTTAATAATAGAAGTACGATTTTTTACCTGTGTTGATATGTATGTGGTGTATTTTTATTTTAGCTTATAAATATTTTAATTGGAATCAAAACGCGGAGCAGATCTTGCTGGGTAATTACAAGATTTTCATTGATAATAATTTACTTTTTGTAATCAATATTAATAATACTATTATTATTATTATAATCACAAGAAGATGTCAAGGCAGCACACTGTTACAGAAGAAACATTTCGATATGCGATGTTTGATTACAGGAAAATAGCAGGCGTTGAAGCACACACGCTACCTTGAACACATTACAGTCATTCTCACATCTTCCTTGTGTACATAAGGCTAATCTGACCAAGATTTCCATGATGATACAATGATGCAACAAATTCCAGGGGGGGCGCATGGCCCTGAAGTTTATCATGATTGCATCAATCATCAAAGACACTTTCACTAATCTTCCCAGACCAGAGATGGCTGCTGCTATGTTGGCCGAAAAGTTACCTGCAACGATCCCACCTCTAGGGTAAGGATGGTACTGTGACCAAGTTGCAACTCTGCTGATGAATTGTAGTGCCATGTAAATATCCAGATCCATCAAAGCAATGAGAATCTGCAGCTTGTTTCAAGCACAGGGGGTCGCAATTCAGAGCAGGGTTGGTGGCCCTGAAATTGCATTTGGGCTCTGATGTTAAGAGGGAAGTTGTAAAATAGTGTTTTGTATAATCATTTTCCTAAATGCTCTGTTTCTCAGATACTAACCAATTTATAATTTGGGTAGAGGACTGGATGGGGTTTTGCCCAATCAGTCTTCTGTCCTATAGGTTAAATTATTGCATGATTATATACATCTTTTGTCAGCAATATGGCCAACAAGAAAACAGTCATAAAAATGGTTCGGATTTTAGTATGTTTTGTATAAATTAATCATTTTCTGTTTCTCTTATTTGTCAACTGAATTTGTTGTTTTTTTAAATGGGAACTTTTTCCCATATAACCTCCCACCCTAGGTTAAAGGATTGTAGCTCAATGAGAGCATGTATCTTACAAGTATAAAGGTGGCAGTTTGATTCTGCCCACTTTTATGTATTGTGTCAGTCACCATGATCACTGGAATCAAGGAGAAAGCTGTAAAATAAAATGGTTCAGATTTTGTTTGGTATGTTATATATAAATTAATCATTTTCCCAAATTTTCTGTCTCTTTAATTTTTATTTGACCAACTGAATTTGTTTTTTAAATGGGGTAGGTTATTGGTGAGCAGGTGTGCCACCAACAAGACAGCAACCCAGGACTCAAAACTCTGAATTCAAGGAAAATCCAAAACAGCAACACTCCTACATTGGAGAATTTTGAACCAGTTGCAGACACCAACTTTATTCTAGAGGGGTATAACACAAAGCAATCATCACACAAATGTCAATGATCAATGCTCATATGGCAACAACAAGTCTGATCTGAGAGGAAGATAAGGGAATGTTTTGTCTAAAGCCTTCCGACATGTGGGTGGCCTTCACTTGTGGAGAAATTTCACAATTATGAGGGTGTGTGAAAGCACTAACTTGCATGTTTGTGACAGGAAAATTTTAATTAAATCTGACACCTGCAATCAACATCAGATTTATTATTCATAAGGAACCATAATTGATAATCAGGAAAAATAATTTATTTTGT